CCTGTATCTATATTGCCACCACTATTTGTTCACACCATGAAAAACATAGCTCTTAGAGAATGATGATATAACTGGATTATGCTACATACAGAATGCTACTAATGTGCATCAATTGACTGCTTCTTTTAGGTTTATATTTATTTGTTGTAGACCTGAGTAGAAATACAATATTATGCTGGTTCTCTTCTTGTACTCCCATTTTGTACAACCCCTCCCCCAACATATCATGGCAATATTTAATCATATATTTGAAAAAGTATTATCAGGGCTGTGTAATAAATAACTGTGCCACATACCCAGAGGCATTATTCACCTTCCTGCAGGATTTCCCTGTATTGGACCCCAGGAGGGAGCCCACAGGCTCTGATCTGTAGTATAATAAAACCTCTTTAGACTGACACTAAAGCAGTCTAAAACACTGATTTACCCAACTATTCTCCACTTTGTCTCTTCTCTTGCTGGCTATTTCAAATTCTCTCTGCCCTTGGTAACTACTGCAAAAGGGTGAAGAAGTTTACTTAGTCACACCGAGTCAAGGGAGATGAAGAAACTCTCTGATTCTGTGTGTGTGTGGGCGAAGGTGTGTGTTTGTGTGTGTGCACTCTCGCATGTCAGTGTGGTTTGCACTTGCATTAGTGTGTATGTGTGCGGGTGCAAAATGCAGAAACGTACACACAGCCCTGTTTGATCCAGAGCTAGCCCTGCAGCTCCCAGATACTCAACAAAAGGCCTCCTCTATCTATTGTATGAGCTGTGTGTTTCCCAGGAGAGCTCGGGCTCAGCGAGAGAAGGGCCCCAGATCGCTTTCTCCTCACATGGATGTTATTCGCTCCGCGGTCCAGCAGAACACTGTCCAAAAGGACTGGCCTTAGCATCTTGACGTAATTGACACATAGTGTTGGGAAAGAGAGCCAGAGGGTGTGAGGAAGAAGGGGAAAAAAGTGAGTGTCTTGACAGGTGACATATGAGACAGACAGACAAAGAGAAGGCCTGTCTATAAAGGTGTTCTCATAAGAAAAATAATATGTATTGTGTTCTCCACCATTTTATGTGCTACTTGTCTTTACACAAGTCAGTTTTCTTGTCAACCTTGTTCATGAATGTAGATCCGCCCGGTGGGTGGGTAGAGATTTCGCCCTGATCTTGACAAGCTCTCCCATCCCTGACTGCATACTAATTTCCCCAGAACTACTGAACCAATGTAAAACAAATACAAATGTCCCGGGCTGCTGTTCATAGCTTGAGAGGCAGGGTCTTTGGAGGTTAGCAGAAAGTAGCTATCTATTGTGTGTATGTGATTAATCAGATTGTCTGCTGTGGACAGAGGAGCTTAAAGGGACAGCTAGTCGGCTTTACGATATCTGTAGGAATCGGTCAATATTCTGAGCTAATGAAGGGAAGTGTAAAAAAAAGATGAATTAATTCACCAGTCAATTAAAAGTCCATCAAATGTCCAACGCGATCAGGCAGACAACAACTCATTTTGACAAAGACATGTCTGTATTTCACTTTACGGGCAATCCTCAGCTGCTCTCTCTTCACCAGCTGTCTTTATCTAAGAGTTTTGAACGCTATATCTATCAGAGTACTTCACTTTCTCTAACGATATCTAAACGTTTCCTTGAGATTGCGAGTGCCTGCGGAGTTGACCATAGATCTTAGTAGAGCTTCAGAAGCAGACAGTTGAAAACAAACAGGGTAGGCTGATACCATCTAATCTGTTGAACACCATTATCGTCTGAGATATCGCTATACCCCCCTCCATACATGCATGCACCCACCCTCCAAACCAGACTTACTCTCTCTCCACCCTTTGAGGTAAAAAGCTTGTGTGTTGAGGCTGAGAGTGAATGTAAGCCATTGTTATGGAGTAACCGGACTCCACAGCAGGTTGTTTGATCCTGTTTGGTCCTGAAAAGCCCTTTTTTCTTGAACTACCACATCAGCTGAGAGGTTCAGACAACAGACTCTATTTGTAGAGTCCTCTGTCTGTCTGCTTCTCTTTCCTTTCTTTCTACTTTCCATTCTCACTTCATCGGTCTTAATCTGTCATCCACATTCAAATGTTTAGTCCAAAGCTTTGATTACCATATAGAGGAGCGTGCACTCATTCACAAACTGTACTTAGACACAAACGTATGCTTTTAGGCACACTCTGTCGCTCTCAATTACTCCTTCTTTCTCTCTACCTTTTTTCCCCTTCTTGTACCTTTTTCTCTGTACAGACACTGGGATTATATTCCTCACTTACACCTCTGTTATGGAAACAGCAGAAGAAAATGTTACTGGGAAGTGTTTGAATGACAAAAGCTGGAAATTGTTTTGTTTGCTCACAATACTAGTGATACCTCCACGCTCTTGTTGTGTTCCTGTTTACCCAACATCATCTCATTATTTAAATTACAACATAGAATCAGGCTGCCGTATTGTCGAATGTGTTGGGCGCCTACTTGCAGTTCTACGCCTTTGTTACTGTTTTGGCATTGTGTTCTGAATTTATGATCTGTTTGGCGTTCAGTGTGGACAATGTGCATGCAAATATCTTCGTCCCATTCTGCCAGCTGTCGTTGTACATCAGCTTTCTTTCCTTAGAGGTATAGATGTAAAGTTGGAGGGGGGGGTGGAATGGCCCTGTAGGTTTTTGTAGGGAGATTTGTGCGGGCACACATACACACACACACCACACACACACACACACACACACACACACACACACACACCCACACAAACACACACACACACACACACACACACACACACACACACACACACACACACACACACACACACACACACACACACACACACACCCCCATCTGTGCCCCCAACCCATTTCAGATGTGAGAAACTGTCCCGTCATTTGCATAAGACAAATTGACACTTCAACTTAGCCTTCCAAAGAGGATTCTTTTTTTCAGCAGATGTGCAGCCATTGCCATATTGGAGAATATAAAAAGGGAGGTAAAAAACGAGCATGGATAGGGGGACACACGTCATAAAAGATTAACCCTTTAATTTGCTCATCTCAGAGTAGAGGATTTGATATGCCTTTTTATTGCAAATATAACTTGATATGCAGTAAAACAGACTTTTGTAGAGAATATAAAGTGTTTTCTTCTCGCCTCAATCAAGAGTTCCTATGACTGCCAGTTAGGGCACAATGTATTTTTTTTCCTGACTGATAGGTATTTATGTTTTGAAGCATTAGGTGCACTGACTGTGTTATGTGCACGTTTACACATCTATATTCACCTCAGTGGCATTGGACGTAGGGCAAGAGAGTGAGTGCTATTAAGTAGAGTGTGCATGTGAAAGTGTGCGGATCGAGGATTTGCTCACATCAAAGCATTAAAGCAAGTGCAATGATGAATTATTGATAATGGCTAATGAAAAGGATCAGTTCAGGATGAACTACAAGCTTAGCCCTGAGGGTTAACACACATTCACACAAGCACCATTCAAACACCTATTTGAGGTTTTAACATGAAAACTGGTGCAAGCATACTAGGTATTCTCTGTCTATATCTCATTGTTTGCTCCATGTTCTATTTTATCCACTCCAGTTAAGAGCAATGGATGCCCAACACTGGGACAAGATAAAAGCACTGTGCTTCCTGGCCTACAAGCTGACAAGCAGGAAGCCTTTATGAGGCTGAGCTTTTTTGGGGGGAGAATAAGGGAGAAGGCTTCAGTTTTGGGGGAAGGGGATAGAGAATGGGGGTTGACGGTTTGAGGGCTGAGGGGGGAAAGCCTCGGCGCCAGCCCCTCTGAAGCGCTCAGCATCCCCCCACTTATGGGATGGCGGATGCGTCTGGGGGTAGCCATGACAACACTGCTGCATGCCAGGGACATACCACGGCAACAGGGACAAGTAGAGTTGGTGTCGATGTGTGTGTGTGTGAAGATCCATTAAGGCCCACATATCTCGTTGACATTAATATTCACTTGGTCAGACAGGAACGCCACTGCTGCCTCAATCAGTTTGCTGTTAGTCAGGCACAAATCACAGACACCTTTATTTTAGACTTGGAGGCTTAACATGAAAATATCCACAGTATACATGCCCTCTTGTAAGTGAATGTAAGCTAGTTTCTGTAGTTTGACACAGTTGTCAAGGAAAGCACCTACTTGCTAATGTTTGGACATGGCACAGTTTTATACTTGTAGTATATAGTTTATACTCTCACAGACACAGAGAGGTGCACCCTCACATTCACTCAGGTCATGAAGCATGGTCAGGTCTCACTAACTCTCTAACAAACATGCTCCCACACACTGACACACACACACACACACACACACACACACACACACACACACACACACACACACACACACACACACACACACACACACACAATATCACACTCCTGGCCCTTGCACAGATCAAGCTTTGTTATAATAATCCCATATGGGACAGCAGAGATTCTCAATCAGAAAGTACCAATATAATGATGCTCTGATGAGTTGTGTGTGAGTGTGTGTCTGTAGAAAAGAGAGTGTAAGTTGCTATATGTGTCATAGGTTATATACTGTTTTATTTGTTACCAAATCCCAGCCCACACACATACACACGCTCACATACACATGCATGAAGAGTCAAACTCAGATCCTGTGGGAGTGCATTTTTAACCCCGGCTGCCTGTGCATTTGCTGAGGGGTTAAAGGGCCGAATGGTGAATCAAGTAAATAATTCAAAATAGCTGAAACTCTTTCGATGTAACCTCAGAATGCATGTGGGGAAGTAGACCAAAGAGACTTAGTTACGTACTTGCACACAATAGTCACTTCCAATATTGCTTGGTGTTTTGAGTTTACTGAGAAAAAAGTAGGCCAACAAGAAATATCCATTAAGTCAAACAGGGCTCGCATCTTCTGATAAAGTCTGACTCTATTCAGGGTCGGAAAAATGAAATCAATACCTTCCATGTATGTGTGTTAATTTCCAGGTAAACTTACAACTATAGTACTAAAATGTTTTGTCTATTTTGTGTTTCTAGGTTGGATGGTGACCTCGTAGATCATGACCCAGAAACAAATGGCTGACTGAAGTCTCCAGACAAAGGATGTCAAGGATATTCAGCTGATCTCAGAGGTGACTGTGCGCTCCCCTTTCAAGCATTGACATTTCTTCCATCTTATTATATGGGCAATATTTTACGAATTCCCTGCTATGGATCAGTGGTATCTGCATCCTTTTTCTCTGAGTATTCTATATGAAAGTGTCTGTAAGACATTTTGAGTGACATTGCTTCTGTCAAACGGCTGATTGAAGGAGACACAGAGAGAAATGCTGTGCTAATGAAATCGCCTGACCCACATCTTTTAATGCTATCCATTTCCCCAAAGACACAGAAAGGGCATTTATACAGGTAAACCATGACTGGTCCCTGAAGTGAAAGAAGGGTTTTTCAGAAGGATGAGGAGCATCCATTATTTACTATACTGGGGTTGCTAGACACTTAGGATATAATGCAGTGCTTCAAGCATACAAAACATAGAGCCTCCTCTGTGCTGGCAACGCCATTGTTGTGTGTTTTGAACATGTCTGTTTCCATCCATACTGACAGATGAAAAAGAATATGTCTCCCTATGGTTCAGAAGCACGGACAGAGATAGAGAAATAAGGAGAGAATAGGATGGTGGAGAGATATGTGTGTTAGCCATATCTTTGTGTATGTTTTGTTTATTCATGTCTGTGCATTTGTACATGTGTGTCTTTTTATTGCCACCAATCTGTGTGTTGGCCTCTGCATGTACAACAGTGTCCTAACCTACCCATGTTTATATAGTCTAAATTAAGTAATGGTACACAGTGCAAGCACATGTTTGTTGTGTATGCATCTTGTTTCTCATGCAATGATTCTCAGTAGTCTCTAGCAGGCCTCATGGGCTTCAGTCAAGACTTATTCTCTGCAGATCAGCAGCAGCCTGCTCCTCATGGAGAGTGGAGGCATCTGACTGTAGTCTACTGGGAGTAGTTAGCATAAGGGAAGCAAAGCATACAACTCCTCCACCCTGTTACCAGACTTGGGCAACAAGTTGTCGATTTCCTGAGGGACAATTTGCAATGAAATCCTTTTGTGTGGATGAGGGGAGACCACTCCCAAACAACCCTGTATTTTTCTGCGTATATGTGCATTGTGATGGAGAGCATGACAACTGTCTATGTGTATTGATCTCGTCTGGGAAAATCAGGGTCCACTAAAAATCACAAAAATTTGAAGGACAAAATAAATATATATGTTTTAACCAAGTTATGTTGGTGATGTACAACATTATTTTAAAGGTATCATACTATAAGGAATGAGTTTGAGTCAAAGTAAGTAAATCTGACTTAAAGAAACATCTTTACAAGTCCACATTCGTAATTGGTGAAAGAAAGTACAACTGTTGGTTATCATGCATGGTAGTGTTTGTACTGATTTTACTTGGGCTGCATTGTTGCAGCTATTTTCATTTACATTATAAACATTAAGCTCAGATCTACCTGTTCAGTCTGTACATTTCAAATTTGATGTAACCTGAATATCAGAGATACTGAGAACTATCAGCAACGTTGTGGATCCACACACACACACAAACACACAAACACACACACACAAGCACTGCAGACATCATCCTTATAAGGCATCAAACTGCAGTGTCAGCAGAGAAGATGGGGAGGTTGCAGAGAGAGGCACAGGCACATCTAGCGTTGACTAAGATCAGCTGCCACAAATAGACAGGCAGGCCAGGAAGGCAGTATGTGCCCTTGAGGTGCTGTGTGCAGGCTGATGGTGTGCTTCAGTTGTCTGAATCCACCTTCCTTCTTCTTTATACAGATGGGCTGAGTTGGACTGTTGATGGCTCAGGGACCCTCTGCCAATCCTGAACTGCTCTTTACTGTCAGCCAAAAATCAGAGAAATGTGTTGAAAGAGAAAGTATGGTCAAAACAGTTTTCTAAATGCTTGTAAAAAAAATAGGGGAGGAGTTGCTGAATAGCAAGAGTGTCAGAAAAGATAAATCAGCAATTTAGAGTTTACCTTAAGGAAACTCTTTTGCTAAGTCATTGGATCTTCAAATTACGTGTTACTCGGCCATTGTGGTGTGATGTAGACAATACACAGAAGATGTAACTGAACCAGTCAGACAACCTTACTGTCTCAAATAACCCCAGCTGTTCTCTACAGCCTATACGTTCATATTGGGCCCCAGAATACCTTTCATGCTTGTCAACAAGCTCTATAGTTCTGGGGAAATATAATACCATAATGTCCTCGTAAAGAAGGGAGTGTCAAGTATGGGAAGAGTAGTGGGGGAGGGCTGGAGGTGCAGGTAACCGTTAGCTGGGTGTACAGGGGATCCGATAAGGCGTTCCCCAGACCCTACAGTCTACCAGTCTCCTCTATGAGAGAATAATAAGCAGCTGTAACCCTGAGACACTCCCAGGCCTGTGTCCTCAGCTACAAAAACATTCACCGGTCGTCTTATCAGGTTCTAAGGATATCACGTAAGACAATACATGTGAGAAGTGCAGTGGGAACAATGGGAGGAAAGTGCAGCGTGATATGAGGGGGACTTATGTCAGCGGCTATTGTTCAGGCCTTTGTCACTGTCAAGTACACCGGGAACTCACAGCTCACTGAACTCCTTTCATTCAAAGATCTTGCTTTGGGATGTGATGAAACTCTACAACATGTGCTGGACACACTGAGATGATGTGTTTGTTGAAAAATGTAACATACAGGTTGCTTTAAGAGGCTGGGGATGATGATTTAGTCTCACACTTCATAGTTTCTAAGATGAACTTTTTTAGGCGTAGATGTAACACACACAGGATATTATTAAAGCCCATTAAAAGTTTACACCTTGATGCTTTGATATTGTTAATGTAAGGTATATCAAATGAGATTTCCTGGATTTGTAATCATTGTCATATTTCTCTTTTTTTGTATAGGTATACAAGTTCTTCTGATCAACAAGAGATGAGCTTGAATATCGTCAAGACCGAAGCTTCAAGATGTCCCATCCGAAATCTCACAATCTCTAGGAGTTTCATGTTACTCTCTACGACTCTTGAACCTGCACCATATTCTTGTTTCAGTCTTTGTGTCAAATGGTGATATAAGATTGACCAAACTGAAAAGTATTGTGACCTTGCACTAATATATATATATGTATTTATTTGTATATGGGAGAATACTTTATAAGAAGAAATTATGAAAATATACTCCACTTTGAAAATTGCATTTATTTCATGTAACTGATTGAGTCTAACAAGTATATTTTTTGACAGCAAAATAAAGGCATTTTTTTTACTTAAAGTGATGTTTTAGTGTGAGTTATTTCCTCTTCTCTGTGTAGTGCTATGGCACTCCAGGTAGAGAACAATGTGCTTGACATAATTGGGTCCTATTTGGTTATGAAAAGAGCATGCACACTGATAAAAGCTGGCAGAGTGATCAAAGCCCAATGCGTCCCGATCAAAATCATACACCTGACACAGCTGTAGTTTATCCTGACAGACTAACGAAATGTGGGGGAAAGGTTCAGACAGAAGCCTCCCAGTTTAGAATTAGCTCAATTTCACACTCTGTGCTATTTCTGGTGTACTTCTCTATGTCTGTCAAATCAAATATATCTGTGCGAAATACAAAATAGCAATTAAGAATTTGAATGATATGCTTCTTTTTGTTGCCATTTCCTCTCCATGCTGCATGTCAGGTTTATGTTTTTGAAAGAAAAATACAACAATCTAACTTTCGTATCGCTGTTAAAGTTTCCCCTGAATCTACTCAATGTACAACAAGAAGGATCACAAGTAAGAGCCATAACATCTTGACAAATAGTTTCTTATAGGAAAGAAGCGTCATTTTCTTCCCTTCTCTATCTTTCATTACTCTCCATTCATCTTTTTTGCTTTCCCATTTTCCCTTCTCCTTCCTAATCATATTAATTCTCACTGTCCCTTCCTACTTAACATTCATTCTCACTATTTTTCTCACACTTACACCATCTTCATTTCCTTTACAGCATCACTCTTCTTTTCTACAACCATCTTTCAGTCCCGCCCGTCCCCCCTCATATTCCCCCACCCGAACCATTCTCTTGCTCCCTTTCTCTCTCCGTTGTCTCTCTCCTTCTCAGATGTCAGATCACAGTCTACTCTTCCGCTTGCCCTGTCATCACATTTTTCACACAACCCCATCCCTTAATTGGGCCTGTATCATCATATCATGTAGAATATCTGATCACAGCAAGAGATGAAAGATGGCCTCCACCTATCCCCTCCCAGACAGATAGACACAAACACACACACACACACACACACACACACACACACACACACACACACACACACACACACACACACACACACACACACACACACGCACGCACATGCTGATACCTGTGTACATTTTTACACACCATGTTTGCACCAAGTTGTCGATGTGATTGTTACAACGTGACAGGTGAGATGGTGGGTATTCCGTGAATGTCCACTGATGTTTGTATCAGCTGCTAGTGGCTTTTGTGATGAGACAAAGGATGCCCTGGAGCCAGCAGTGTCACAGCTACAGGTAACTAGCGAAATAAAGGAAACAACAACAAAAAGTGTCTCCGGAGTACAAAAATAGCTCCAACATGTCTCTGCATCAACTTGAAGGATTCAACATGAAATCTTGAGAAAAATGTGCAGTAATTTCTGTTGCTGGCAGACAATGCTTCCCAAATATGGTGTACTATAACAATTACTCATATAATGGAATACAATTATGAAAAGGGCTACACCTTCAAAGTGCCGAGTAAAACTGAAACGCTCTTGACAAGCATATCGTGTCACACAGCTGCAAAATCTTACTTTTCCTTAAGTTTCTAATTCTGAAAATCCAAGATCTAATTTCTGGCTGAAACTTTATATTAGTATGTTGGCATTACATCACAATAAATCTAATCATGTTATTTTGAGTAATCTTTAAATGTAAATAAAAATTGTAATGTTTGCACAAGCAGAAGCCCACTTTCTTTTGGAGGCCTTACCAGGTGAAACTACACAATTTCCCCAAAAAACAGGCTGCACCCATTGTTGGTGTTCACATAATTTTGCCAGTTGTACCTGACACCTGCACTCAGATGTTTAGGAAAAAAATATTTTCCATTTAATTACCATAGTGTATACAGAACATATACTGTGTCACTATGTGGGTGTAAAGTCTAGAAAAAGTTCAAATGTCAGAAGTAAAACTGCAATAATTAAACCGCTCCTAAAAAAGCATAACCTAGACAAAACCATTATGAATAATTACAGGCCAATATCAAACCTTCCCTTTTTAAGCAAATTGATTGAAAAAGCAATTTTTCAACAGTTGAGTAATTTCATGTTTTTAACTGACGGTTTTGATGTGTTTCAGTCGGGCTTTAGACCTAACCACAGCACTGAGACTTCACTTGTTAAGGTCTTAAATGACATTACATTACATTATTACATTGCATTTAGCTGACGCTTTTGTCCAAAGCGACTTACAATAAGTACATTCGACCAGGAAGACACAACCTTGAAGAAAACAGAATCATATAAGTATATCAGGTTTCATAGAGCCAAACATTTCAAGTGCTACTCAACTGGCTTTAGGTAATCCAGTCCTTTATTGGTATAAAAGTGCTTCGTTAATCGTTCTAACGCTCGAAGTGGAGTCGAAAGAGATGAGTTTTCAGTTTGCGCCGGAAGATGTGCAAGCTATCTGCCGTCCTGATGTCAATGGGGAGCTCATTCCACCATCTTGGAGCCAGGATAGTAAACCCACGTGTTTTCGCCGATGGGAACTTGGGTCCCCCTCGCAGCGAGGGCGCAACGAGTCGTTTGGCTGATGCAGAGCGTAGTGCACGCGCTGGGGTGTACGGTTTAACCATGTCCTGGATGTAGGAAGGGCCAGATCCATTCGCAGCACGGTAAGCAAGTACCAGTGTCTTGAAGTGGATTCTAGCAGTTACCGGAATCCAGTGAAGGGAGCGGAGGAGCGGAGTGGTGTGGGAGAATTTAGGAAGGTTGAAAACCAGACGAGCCGCTGCATTCTGGATGAGCTGCAGAGGTCGGATGGCACATGCAGGTAGACCAGCCAGGAGGGAGTTGCAGTAGTCTAGGCGTGAGATGACGAGAGCCTGGACCAGAACCTGAGTCGCTTTCTGAGTCAGCTGGGGACGTATCTTCCTGATGTTGTAAAGCGTGTATCTGCAGCAGCGGGTTTGTAGCAGCGATGTTTGCAGTGAAGGACAGGTTGTTATCTAGGGTCACACCCAGATTCCTTGCAGTCTGAGTCGGGGAAACAACAGAGGTGCCAATGTTGATTGTTAGGTCAAGAGTGGGACAATCTTTTCCCGGGAGGAAGAGCAGCTCAGTCTTGTCAAGGTTGAGCTTGAGGTGGTGAGCAGACATCCACTGAGAGATGTCAGCTAGACAAGCAGAGATGCGTGCGACGACCTGGGTCTCTGAGCGGGGAAAGGACAGAATTAATTGGGTGTCGTCAGCGTAGCAGTGGTAAGAAAAACCATGCGGGCTAATGACTGATCCGAGCGAGTTTGTGTACAAGGAGAAGAGGAGGGGACCAAGAACAGAGCCCTGAGGGACCCCCGTAGTTAATTGACAAGGGTCGGACTCAGACCCTCTCCAAGTCACCCTGTAGGTACGGTCTTTCAGGTATGAGGTGAGGAGGGAAAGTGCAGAGCCAGAAACTCCAAGTTTTTGGAGAGTGCGAAGGAGGATCTGATGATTCACCGTGTCGAATGCAGCAGACAGGTCCAACAGGATGATGACAGAGGAGAGGGATGCAGTTTTGGCAGTGTGAAGTTCCTCCGTGACAGCAATGAGAGCAGTTTCTGTGGAGTGACCTGCCTTGAAACCAGACTGGTGCGGATCCAGAAGGTTGTTCTGATTGAGATAACAGGAGAGTTGTTTAAAGACAGCGCGTTCAAGTGATTTAGACAGGAACGGGAGGAGAGAGACAGGCCTGTAGTTTATAACATCAGACGGGTTGAGAGTGGGTTTCTTTAGGAGAGGGTTTACTCTTGCCTCCTTGAGACTGTTTGGAAAGTGACCAGAAGTTAGAGAAGTGTTGATGAAATGGGTGAGAAACGGTAGAATATCAGGAGCAATAGTCTGAAGGAGGTTTGAAGGGATAGGGTCCAGAGGACAGGTGGTAGGGCGGGCAGAGGTAATGAGGGTAAGAACCTCACTGACATCTATTTGAACACAGACAGTGGCAGAATATCAGTGTTAGTATTATTAGATCTCAGCACTGCCTGTTGACCACAACATATTGCTAGACCGTCTTGAAAACTAGGTGGGAGTTTCAGCAACAGCTCTAAACTGGTTTAGCTCCTACTTGAAGGACAGAACAAACTTTGTCTCAACAGGCAATTACAAATCAATCCTGATAAATATGTCATGCGGGGTTCCTCAAGGCTCCATCTTAGGACCTTTGTTTTTTAATATTTATATGCTACCTCTGGCTGAGATTATTAAAAAGAGCGATCTAAGCTATCACATCTACTGTATGCAGACAACACCCAGATTTATTTTTAAATTACACCGGGAGATTACTCTCCGATTAGAACACTGAGCAAGTGCATTGAGCACATCCCTGACTGGATGACTCAGAACTTTCTCCAACTGAACAAACAAAAAGCTGAGATCATTATTTTTGGAGCAAAGATGGACCGATTAAAAGTAATCACGGGGCTTCAGTCGGCAGACTACAAAGTAACTCACAAAGCAAGACATCTGGGTGTAGTGATGGACTCAGACCTGAATTTTAACAGTCACATTACAACAGTTATTAGGTCTGCATACTACCACCTGAAGAATATATCTAGGATTAAAAAACTAATGTCGCAACAGGATTTAGAAAAACTTGTCTATGCTTTTATTTTCAGTAGACTCGACTACTGCAATAGTGTATGCCCCAACAATTTGGAACAAACTGCCTAAATCATGCACATCCGCCGAAACAATTCCTATTTTTAAATCCCGACTAAAAACGCACCTATTTGCCACTGCTTTTAATTGAGCTGCCCATACTCACACTACAGTAGGCTATGCCTTTTCAGTCATGTATTCTGTACCTGCTGTGTTTATTTATTTTATTTATTTCATTACCTTTGCTTATTATGCCTGTTTTTAAATGCCTTTTTAATAATGTATTTATGCTGTATTTGTTCTTAAATGTCTTTTGCTTTTAATCTGTAAAGCACTTTGAATCGCCACTTGCTGAAAAGTACATAAATAAAATTGCCTTGCCTTGCCTAGAAGTACATCCTGATCATAGAA